ACCCTAAGCCTTAAGCCCTAAACCTTAAACCCTAAACCCTAAGCCCTAAGCCCTAAGCCCCCAGCCCCAGCCCTGAGCCTAAACATGAACAAATTACCCCTTCCAAGGGCATGGAAGCGAGCAGCAAGGTTGTTTGGGGCGCGGGTGCCTAGTTCCTCGCAAGCCGGCGGCCTTCAGCAACGCCACGATCACATGCAGCATTTCGTAGAGGTGTTGGTTTAGGTTTAAGGGTTTAGGACTATGAGCACAGCTGTGGTGTTTGCATTGCCCAGAGCCCTTAACCACCAGAGGATGATTGGACGACGCATCAGTTGGAACGTACAGGTCGAATTCTTTCCAATATACTTAGTTCCCCCATACCCAACCTTTAAATTTTTTGGGTTCTTGTAACTTAGTAGTAACCTGAAAGTTTATTCTTTTGTTTCCCTGGCTTATTGGGGAAGTAAGTATATAAATTCTGAGCTCCCGCCAGCCCAAGTGTAACAAGATTGCGATGCATGGGGCCAGCCAAGCAACCCGAGGTAGTCTAATTTCTATTCTAGTCCTTCTAGGAGCTAGAGAGCGCAAGTATCCTGAAAATCTTGGAACCGTAATGGCAGTTTCAGACTGGATCCTTCGATGCGAAAGCGGTTCACGTCTTGGCATTGCCGCGATGATTCAGATTGCGATGATCGAGGGTCGAAGATGTACCAGCTTGGCAGACAGTCCTGCGCCATAACGTGGTTTTGGAGTGCGGCTATATCTGTGTATACCTTTTAATAGCGAAACCAGCAGAGAATACGTCCTCATACCGTAAATTATCGTACAGGATTTTCTGTGAGACCCATCACCCTGTCACGACTCGACAAACCAGACGAGGCCCGAGTATCAGCGTGGCCCTCCAGACATCATGGATCAGGGATTGAGTTTAGTGTTGAGTCCAGCTCTACACCCTGAGAATCGAGAACGGGCAAGTGTGGGGTTAGGCGAATGCTCGAGTACTTTAAACCCTGAGCCCTAAGCCTCTAACCCCACCAAAAGCCCACGGTGCGGCGAGGTCGCAAGTTTCGACGCAAGACTGCCTGAGCGTTCGTATTTGGAGTCTCGATGACTCGATATTTCGCCAGCAAAAGACCCTTAAAGTTATCTATCATTCGGGTTCAAAAATGGAGCTGCATGAAACTAGGTGTACTTTGTTTGGGGATCCTTATGATTTAGGGCAGGGGGGTTAAGTTGGGATCACAGGCCTGTTTGTGTTGAATGGGTCTTACAAGGAGGGCTTGAGGGGCTGCGGTCCTGGAGCAGTGGGGTTTAGGTTTTAGGTATAAGTCATGGATGCAAAAAGGGTTTAGGATTTAGGTTTGGGGGTTTTGGGGTTTAGGGTTTAGGTTTTGGGGTTTTGGGGTTTAGGGTTTAGGGTGCAGCTTTTCCTGTTCGCTCTTGCCTTAAGAGGGGTGAGGGTTGCGTAGGTGATGGCCGGCACCTCAGTCCGTGCTGAAAAAAGTTTCAGGGGGTTTAGGGTTTGGTATCAAGCGGCTACGCTGCAGAAGGGGATGTTCGAAGTCACTTCATGCTGTGTTTTGTGCAGGTTACCCGAGGCCTCACAAGGCCCTAATGAGCCCTAATGAGTAATACTGGTCCTTCTGGCTCCTTGTTATAATGATATCCGAATGAATCCCCCCAAAGCCCTGTTAGAATTGTCGGTAAACCCTAAACCCTTACAGTAAGGCCCCGGTATCTCTTCTAGGAGCCATCATAGAACCTTTTCAGGAAGCCTCAAAAGGGCACCCTGTTCTACTTCTTCCGGCCCCTGATCTTCTGACCCGGGGTTTTAGGGCTAAGGTAACAAGGGTTTAGGGGTTTAGGGGTTTAGGGGTTTAGGGGTTTAGGGTTAAAAGGGTTTGGGGTTTAGGGTTTAGGGTTAAAGGGGTTTAGGGTTAAAAGGGGTTTGGGGTTTAGGGATTGGCAGAGTCTGGGTTCAAAAGGGTCAAAAGGGTACGTTTTGGGACCTTGTATATTACCCCGATGCAGGGCAGGGCAAACTTCAATAGTAGGATTGCCTCGACAAGTTGCCGCAATCTAAATTAGGGTACCCCGTGAGTAGCATAACCCCCCCAAGACTGGGTTAGACCTCCGCCAAAAGCTCACTCATATAGAAGCCTAAATTCTAAATAAACCCGATTCTAATTATTAAGGCC